CCACATGTTGTTGCTATAACCAATACACGCACAAAAGCAACCCTCTCTTTCCTTATTTTTTAAATTAAAAAAAAAACGTTTTTTTAAATTTATTTCTGAGAGAGACAGAGTGCAAGCGGTGGAGGGCAGATAAATAGAGAGACAGAATCCAAAGCAGGCTCCAGACTCTAATCTGTCAGCACAGAACCTGATGTTGGGACTTGAACCTATTAACTGGTAGATCATGACCTGAGCCAAAGTTGGATGCTTAACTGACTGAGCGACACAGGCACCCCTCTCCTTCCTTATTGTAAGGCTAACTCCCATTTCCAAATGAGGCAAATGCAGTGACTATCTTGTATTTTCTGTTTATCTGTCTATCTACCTACCTATGTATTGAGAGCATGAACAGGGGAGAGAGGCAGAGGGAGAGACAGAGAGAGGGAGAGGGGCAGAAGGAGAGACACAGAGAGAGAGAGAGAGAGAGAGAGAGAGAGAGAGAGAGGAGAGAGAGAGAATAGCAAGCAGGCTTCATGCTGTCAGCACAGAGCTGGACACGGGGCTCCATCCCACAATCCCAGGATCACAACTTAACCCAAAATAGTCAAATGCTCAACCAACTGAGCCACCTAGGTGCCCCTAATTTTCTTTTTAATAGATCAAGAAACGCTCACAGAACTAACCCCACAGCAGACTTCCTTCAATGTCTTATTGGCCAAAATTGGGTCACCTGGCCCCTTTTAAGCCAACCACTCATAAGAAGATTAGATAATTGTGATTGGCTAGATTGATTGATTCACCTGCTTGAGTGGAAATGTGACCAGCCTTCCTTAGAGTATAAAGTCACATGGAGGAGCCTGAGTGTCTGCGTAAAATTGAAGGGTTTTTTTTTAATTTTTTAAGGTTTATTAATTTGAAAGAGAGAGAAAGAGCATGAGCAGGCAGAGAGAAGAGACACAGTATCTGAAGCAAGCTCCATACTCTGAGTGGTAATCACAGAGTCTGATGTGGGGCTCGAACTCATGAACTATGAGATCATGACCTGAGCTAAAGTCAGACACTTAACTGACTGAACCACCCAGGCGCCCCTGTGTAAAATTGAAGTTTTACTCACAAGAAAGAATTGATATTGGGCTTTCAGCCAATATGATGGACATGTATATGGAACCCAACTATCTTTACACATGGGCCCATTTTATGAGACTCACCTACATGCTTCTTCCCAAGTCCTTCTTGGGAAGGACTTCTTCTCACTAGTCCTCTGGTCTTATTCTTTTCATGTCCATGTCAATCTGACTAAATCATCTGTTACTGCCTATTAACTTATCTCTCTTTCCAGGAAAAAAAAAAACAAAGATGTTTTACCACTCAAAGTTCTACCTACTGGGAAAATTCCACTTTACTTCAGTGGAACTGAATAGGACTCAGCAATCCATTTGAAATGGTGCCAGTTTATTATGCAAAGCCATCTGTAAACTATGCTCTCTTTTGCTTTTTCTTCAGTTAACTCATAACAGAGAGTTAACTGTTCATGAGGCTGTGTGTTGGTTAGTGGGGAGGTGGCGGTGAGGTATGAGTAGACATAACAGGAAGACATCAGCATGTGAGACTGGAGCTTTCAGGATCTGCTCAGATGCACTCACTCACATACTATTTCCACTTGGATATGTTTGACTTTAAAGCTGAGTAGATCAGATAACATTCAGCTCATGATAGGTAGCTTATATTTCACAAGTACCTGGTTTTTATGAGGGCCCAATAGCAAGCCAACTACTATCCCTCCAAACAAGGAAGAATGGTTATTCACTGAAGGAGGTATAGCTTTGTCCTAAAACTGTGATGTTTCTGCCGTGAATCTTGCATTACATCTTTCCACACCACAGACTTCAAATGATTTTTAATGACCACTAACCTCACTGGATCCTGTAAGGCCACAGGGAAAAGCTGCAGCCTGAACCATGTGGAGAATTTTCCTTTGGACTCTACTCAAAGCTGTCAGCCTTTCAGGTGTCTCAGGAAAAAGCTGAAGGACACACAAAATGTGATATATGTTGCTTCTAAAATCTAAAGAGCACCATCAATCTCAGCACTCTTTCTTCTAGATGTGGAAAACAAATTGTCCTTGACATTAGAGAGGATAAACTCACATGCCACAGAAAACAGATCCCAAGAAACTTCACTGTATTAACATATGATTTATGCCCCCACCTTCTGGCATGCCTAGTTTTAGTCTAAAATATCAGCACTTTCTGCTCTCTGGAGCTCATAAGCATATTATCACCAATTTAGCCCTGGGGATGGTTAGACAACCTAATTCTTAGGGACTCATTTATGGCACAGAGAATAGAGAATTAAGATAATCTTGAGTTGAAAATATATTTCTGCCATTTTAGGCGAAATAAAACTACTTCTGGTATTTTCTGTGTATTGGAACAGAGAAATTTTGTCCAGATAAAAGCTGCAGTCAGTCCACAGCCTATGTTGATTTGCTGCAATAAAATCACACAGAAGTGATTCTACACATGTACTTATAGTTACTACTTGACTTAGCTATAGTAATCCCCTGGATTCCCAAAACTCTTACATCTTCTTTTTTTTAAAGTAATCCCTATGCCAACATGGGGCTCCAACTCCTAACCTCAAGGTCAAGAGTTGCAACCTCTATCAACTAAGCCAGCCAGGCACCCCAAAATTCTCCCATGTTTTGCATTGGCCAAAAGTGAGGATATGAAAGAAAATACAGTGGCCTCATCTCAGTATTTTCTTAGGGAAGCAGTTTAAAAATTACAGTATTTTTGGGGCGCCTGGGTGGCTTAGTCGGTTAAGCGTCCGACTTTCGCTTAGGTCATGATCTCGCGGTTCGTGGGTTCGAGCCCCGCGTCGGGCTCTGGGCTGACTGCCAGCTCAGAGCCTGGAGCCTGTTTCAGTCTGTGACTCCCTCTCTCTCTGACCCTCCCCTGCTCACGCTATCTCTCTCTCTCTCTCTCTCCCCTAGAAATAAATTTAAAAACATTAAAAATAAATAAATAAATAAAATAAAAATTACAGTATTTTTAATTGTTTTTTTAATGTTTTATTTTTGAGAAAGAGTGAGCTGATAAAGGGGGAGGGGCAGAGAGAGGAAGACACAGAATTTGAAGCAGGCTGAAGGCTCTAAGCTGTCATCACAGAGCATGACATGGGGCTCAAACCCACAAAGCATGAGATCACAACCTGAGCTGAAGTCAGATGCTCACTGAGTGAGCCACCCCAGTGCCCTTCAGTAATTTCTTTTTTTTTTTTTACTGAAGTCTGGGAAGTTGAGCTCCTGAGCTTCCACTAAACTATTCCTATCTTATTATCTTTGGTAGCTTCTACTCAACAGGTCACAAGTCAATGTTGGAATTCTGTCCTTTGCTGAGGTCATCTATCCCAATAATACACCAGAAACAGAAGAAAGAATCGTGGCAAGAGTTCAGGGCTCTATTGGAATGTATCAGTGAGTATTCTGTGCACTGTGCCTCTCTAGGTACTTTAAGTAGAAGAGTTTTAAGACAGGAGATTAGGTGCTTACAAAATCACTGTAAAGACTAGAGAGGCTAGTGTCCAAAGGCTACCACGAGAACTACTGAGTTCAAGAACACAACACGAGAACTGCAACCACTAATCCTGGAGTATTTTCCATTATACAAATGAATTAGAACCCTAAAGTTGCCATCTATTTTGATCACTGTTAACTTTCTTACATATAAAAACCTTGCAGAGATTTTTGAGAGTTGTATCATTTTGAACACCATGCCATCTCTATTGTTATTATTATGGTCAGCATGCCCACCTTAACTGTGACAGTTAAATGCCACTACTCACCCTCTTCTGTCTTAGCACCTCTATTTGAAATCAGGAGTGCTTTTCAAGAACAGAGTATTTTCTTCTTACCCCAGCATATGGAGAGCCACCAAAGTGCTTTTTAAAAAGTGGGATCTTGCATACATCTATACAGTTCTCAAGTCCCTGGTATAGGAAATGTTTTCTGGCCATTTGTCCTCCTAGAAGAAGGAAACAGGGAATAGGTGAGCAATCCATATGTGGTAATCTATCCCAATATTTATATCTCCATAAAACTTTTGGATTTCTTTCCTTTAAAAAGAAATTTCTGATATCACAGGTTCATTTAGAATAGGTTACTGTTGAGCAAAGCTCAAGAGATAATTTAGCAAATAATTTAGACAACTTCCAACTGTTTGAGCTACAACATTAAATCTAGAATCTCCAATAACTGCATCCCTGTTGATAAACTCTATTTGATCTGTAACTGTGTTCTTCCCTCCTTAGTCTACTACTCTCAGAATCCATTTCCACACATATTCTCCATATTTTGCCAACATAAATTAACAGCCTTTCAATTCCTTTGGTGGGTATGCGGTCTGTTCTTGGATTCGCTTTATAATTGATTTTGTTTGTGAGGCATATAGAGATCTGAATCCACTTATCGATCTGGTGAATTTGAGGGTCAATGGAGTGGAGTGTGAAAAGAACTGACTTGCCTTGTAAAACCATTCCATGTGAGATCATTAAGGACTCCTCAGGCAAAACAGGAACAGCATCATCACATAGGAAGAATTCTTTTGGCTAGAGGCCAAAAAATAAATCCTATGTGAAACTGGCCTAAAGAGTCAGAATGTTTATTACATAATACAAGAAGAATTCTAGACAGAAGGTGAGATTCAGGAGCCTCAGTGTATTAGCTTTGTCCTGAGGTGAGCAGTCCTAATGGTTATTAAGGTGGCCACCAGATCACAATATTTCCTTGTTTATGTTCAATAGAAGAGAGACCATCCATCTCAGAGTAATGGATTACAAGTCCTCCCATTCAGGATTTGCGTTCTCTGCATCAATAATGGTCACCATGGAAATAGCATGTACAAAATAGCATTTGATACTGGGTTTCTGAACTGGTCATTAGGATAGAGGAAAGGAATTAACATGGCTCAATCTAATTAGTTTACCTCTGTATACAGGAATAGGTTGACTACCTGAATAAAATTGGTTTCTATTAGAGAAAAGGATGGAGAAAGGACCATATGATGTAACATCTATTGATATGGTACAACAACTATGGAGAATAAAAAACTTTCACTCAGTAGTCAGAGAAGAATAAATGAATACAGTATTTAAAGCTTAATGCTCAATCTTGGAAAAGGCATTTTTTTTTCCTCTATATTTCCTCTCCATAGATAGCTTTGCCTTGGCATAATGTGGCTTTCACTTTCTAAGTGGAAATTGTATGCCTTTGGTATCATTTTCCACTTATGCTTAATTATATATATGCCTACTAAGTTACTACCTCTTATTTACCTAGATAAAAAATGCTAATGCAATTTTAGTTACAAAGTTGTTTAAAGAAAATAAGTGGTGGTAGAGGGGAATAGTATGTGCATTTCTCTAAGTATTCCTCTTGATATACTTGCGCTTTCTAAAACAAGGTGACATCTTCCAAATGTGGTGGATTAAAAAAGGTCACAAAATTGTTTACAGCTCCTTTCATCAAGGAGTGGAGTCTATTTTCTACTCCTTAAATTTGGGCTGAGCTTTTGTATTAGTCTGCTAAGGCTGTCATAACAGAATCCCATAGACTGAATGGCTTATCCTACAGAACTGTATTTTCTTATAGTTGTGGAGGCTGGAAGTCCAAGGTCAAAGTGTTGGCAGGATTCGTATCAGGTGAGACCACTCTCTGTGGCTTGTAGAAGGCCACTGTCTCACTGTGGCCCTTTCTCTGTGCCTGCATATCCCTGCTGTTGCTTCCTCTATTAGAAGGGCACTAGTCCTATTGGATGAAGGCCCCATCCTTATCCCCTTATTTACCCTTAACTACTTTCTTAAAGTCCCTACATCTCCAAATACAGTCACATTGGGGGTTAGGGTTTCAACATGAGTTTCAGAGGAATACAACCCAGTCAGTTACACCTTGCTACTTGCTCTAACCAACAGAATGCTGAGAAAGTGACAAAGTGACGTCTATGACTTCTAACAAGGCCTCAAGAAGCCTTTGCAGCTTCAGCTCTTGCCTTCTTTGGAATCTCAACAATATGAGAAGAAGCCTGAGCTCACCTGCGGAGAAGCCATGTGGACAACCAAGGCACCCTGATTATTAAGCGCAGCTAACCGCCCACTGATTGCAATTGCAAGTAAGCCTAGCTGACGCCACGTGGTGCAGAGACAAGTTGTCTAGAGAGCACCTTGAACCAATTGCTGACCCAAGAATTGTTTTCTAATAAATGGTTAAGGCACTAAATTTTGAGGTAGGTTTTATACAGTCATATATACACCAAGGCTTTTATAATTTTCATTGCTTCTTCATGGCCTATGCTTTCACTGTCAGTTTAGCGAGATCTGGGAAAGAAGCAGACTGAAAAGTGTGTTTTTGTTTAGCCGTGCTTAATTAGAAATTATAGAATATAGATAAGAAAAGTGTTTTTGAGGGGTGCCTGGGTGGCTCAATCAGTTAAGCGTCCAACTTCAGCTCAGGTCATGATGTGAGTTTGAGCCCTGCGTTGGACTCTGTGCTGACAGCTTGCTCAGAGCCCAAAGCCTGCTTTGGATTCTGTCTCTTTCTCTCTCTGCCTCTCCCCCACTTGTGCTCTGACTCTCTCTGTCTCTCAAAAATAAATAAATGTAAAAAATTTTTTTCTAAATTTAAAAAAAGTGTTTTTGAAAGAGGAACAACTTAAAAACTTATTCCTATTTTGTATGTAGAAACAAATAACATATAGAGTTGATAAGTTGGTAATATAAACAATGGGAGTTGATAACATAAGTAATTCCATATCTCCCTATAGAATATGATGTGATAGCCCTGAGCAGGGAATGGAAAAATGCCATTCCACTTCTGTTTACTGCAAATACCTAATGAGCCCCTCCTACCTCCTGAGTTATGCCCTGTGGTTGGTAGGTAGGTAGGCTACAGGAAGGGTGAGGAAATAAAGGTAAGGATAAGGAGCTAAATTTCCCATTAATAAACAAAATAAAACCCTTAAACAACAAAAAGTACATATGTATAATATTATCTTGATCTCTTCTTGATATGTATGTCATATTCTAATGACCCACATATCATTGAATACTATATGTATATTGTTCATGAATAAAAATGTACATATATTCAGAGGAAATGCTCACAATATTTTGACTTACATGTATGATTGATCAAAAAATGTGCAGGATGGGCTAGGAAGCATGGCTGCCCTTTTAAGAGACAAATGTAGAAGGCACGTTTACTGGTCATGTAATATAAACCAACAACCATGCCTACAAGGTGTCATGTAACTGCCATGTCAAAGGCTCTGGGACTACATCAAGGCTTATCTATCCATAGTAAATACTTTTTGGCCCACTCTGTGCTATGAAACCATAATAAGCTTTTGGAAGAATCAAAGATGTAATTAGTTTTCTTGCCTGATCTAAAGTTTCTCCAATTCTCCTGGGGTTGACCTTTTGGGTCAGGACTGATGTAGTGGTCTAAAAACCTAAAAGTTATTTTAGGATTACTCTGTAGGTTCATACCTATTCTAACATGTTACCAAAATATCCCTGGAGCTATCATACCTCCCGGCTCATCTTCTAAGCAGCCTAATCAGACTCAATGGTTTGGACTTCTTTCTGGGCACCTTGCCTCAAGTCTACATGACCTCAAACTCCATGTTCCAGGACCTATGAATTCACTACATGGGAGGGATTTTATTCCACCACTTAGTTGCCTACCAGCTTCCACTGCAGATGTTTTCTTATCCTTCTGGCTATTTCCATCTTTATTTCATTTATTTTTTTCCCAAATGATTTTTATTCATAGTCCTCTGGTTTTTAAGTAATTACCACAACCATTTTCATGCTTTTGCTTTACTTTTCATTCCCCTCTTAGCCTTCTTCCACCACTGCATCTGCTTTCCTTCCTTTCATTTTCTTCCCATTCATTCATTCCATGCTGCAATAGCTACTTTCCTTTGTTCAATTCAGAACATCAGCCAGAAGCTTCCTGTTGCTAAGTAACAACATCACCCACACACACCCTTTTCCACTCTTGGCTCATTTCTTCTGCTTTTGTAAGCTCATGGGTCAAATGGTTTCTAAAAGAAAATGAAGGGTGCTCTGTCTTCTCTTCATACCAGAGAGATGCACACCATCCTGCACACTGCCCCTCTTATTACATTTTGACTTCTTGTTTTATCTGTTCATTTTCCCCAGGCTGTGAGATAAAACTAAAAAAACACAAAACATCCTTTCCAGCTTGGACAATTTATAGATGGGCAGAAGGGATATAATTTCTGTGAAAGGAACAGCGGAGAAAATGTTTAAAGTTTAGTTAAAAGACATGGCATGGCCTCATGGAGGACTTTTGCCTAGACATCTGAATCAAATCCAGGTTTTAAGAGGTTTCCATGAGGGATCAAAAGAGCTAGCAAGCCCTTCGTACAGACTTTGACCTTGTTGAGTTTTGTGGAAGCTACTAATGGCATGGTGAGTGTGGTTTGCACAAAATAAAGGATAAAAACAACACAAGAACCCATTATGCAGTTTTCCAAATTCCCCTCCTTTTGCAGACATCAATCTGACATGATACTTGTACCAAAGGCATAACTGGAGTTGTGTCAGCCCTTCTCACAACAAGCTCTGAAGAGATTCCAAGTCTTCTGCCACATTTCAATAGTTTAATGGCATTGGTGACTCCATATGTCTAAACACTAGGATTCAGTATCAGAGATACCAGGACCTCGAAAAAATCTCCTTTTCACCTTTGCAATGCCACAAATAATTTCCTCCTTGGTGTGAATCCTTTCTCTCTCCTTGGGCATTTATGTAATGCCTGGAGGCCTTCCCTGACAACGTAGTCCCATGCTGTTGACCTCAGCTCTTTGCCCACAGTCAATGCTGAGCTATTTGGGGGATGCTGGAGACTGCTTCGTTGTTAGCACCACAGCCTTTCTTTTGCTGTGTCCCTGCTTCTCAGGCATTGCTCTCTGTGAGGGAAGGACTCAGATCCTGCATGTAATGTATACTTGATAAACTACCTTACATTTAGTAATAATAGAACACAGATGCTTTGACAAGGCAGTTGTTTTTAGTTTCATTTTCTAAGAGGAGAAAGAACAGTAGTTTTCTTTAAAGTCCAAGTTCATCAGCAATCAAAGTAGCAGAAATGAAGTTTATGGGTTTCTGTCATTAACTAGATCTGCAGACTGAACATTTCAGTAGAGAAACTTTTCAAGAGATTTATTTCTCAGGACCCGTAGATATTCTGGAAGTGGGATGCCTGTGAGACTAAAATCCACTCCAAGGTATTCTAGGAATGCCTGACCAGAACTAGAATTGGCAAGTTACTACAATTTTCCTTCTAGAAGTGAACCCCTTGAGATGATGTTATGTTTTCTGAGAGGTCCAGAAAACTTTTATATGATTTCAGTTTTTATCTTTAAGTACTAACAACTGATGAAACATGTATTTGAACTTCCTGGAATTTTTGCTTTATGTGCTGCTTGCTTTAAACAACCGATAATTATATACAATTTTCACTGCTCTTTGATATTTACTCCTCTCTTTTAAGTCTTCTCTCCAACTTGAAGTATCAGTCAACACCACCTACATCATAATAATTTCTTTTCTTCACATATCTATGTATTTAATTCCTTTATCCCCTTCTATCCCACCTCATCTAAGTGGTTTTGGGTCTCAAAGCCCCTGCTGTCATTGAAAAAGGTGGCACTTTCTCCCATGAACTGACTTATTCCCCACCTGGAACATCCACATGGTGATATATCCAGTGTCCTGGAGGCCTCTCTTTTTTCTTTCTTTTTTTTTTTTTTCACCCCTCTGTTCATTCAGCCCCATACAACCTCAGCCACACTCTCAGCCCACCACCTGGGACTGCTTCACCTAAGAAACCTTTAGGCAAGAATTTCTCTTTCCAACCACAGTGTCCTCCACTTCCAGCTCTCAGCTTGTCTCCACACATGCCATCAGGACTATTTCAGGCCTTCACATCAGCCTTGTCCTATCTGCCCCTATTATCTCCTCTTCTCTTCTCTCCTTCCCTACCCAGCAGACATCCCATGGTCCATCACTTTAACCACTCTCTCAAGCATCTCAGCTCCCTTCCTCCTCATTAGCCTGGCAAACCCCCAGCTTGAATGACTTCATCTTTATGTTTCCCTGTGCGCACCCATGCTACCGTGGTCCCCTGGAGAAATAACACCACACAGCCACATGTGCTAGGCCAACTCTACATCATTAAGCACTGGTCCCTCAAAGCTGCCCAGCAACCTTCGTCATACCCCTCCTCATCTACTTGTTATAGAGCATCATTCATTTATCCATTTACTCAATCCATAAATATTTATCGAGTGTCCACTCTAGCAGAAGGCTGGGTTCTGAGAGGTAACTGTGAGCAAAGCAGGAAAGTTCTCACCACTGAGAGCTGAAAATCTAGCTTGGAAGACTGAAATCAAAACTCATCCAGAGAAGTGAACTATTTGGAGGCTGATGTCTGAGAAGTAGATGAAATATTTACTATGGTGAGTGGGAGAAAAAGTGACTAGGGAAATACAGGAGGGTTGCTAGACAGTTATGAGGGACCTGCTGCCTAATGACACAGAGTTGGAGTAGCACCCATAGCCTAGTCATGTCATTTCTCTAGGACACCTCGATAGTGTGGGGCATGGTGCACACAGGGAGACTTGCAGGTGAACTCACTCAAAGCTGAGGATCTGCCAAGCTGTTAAGAAGAAAGGAGGTTGAGATTCTAGAAAGAAATCCTATGGACAAGATAATAGTTCAGATTAAAAACTACTAATGGATTTGTAGTGTCTTTTTTTCTTTTTTCTTTTTGTTTTCTTTTGTTGTTGTTGTTGTTGTTGTTGTTGTTGTTGGGGCTAGGGGCAGAGGGAGAGAGAGAAAGAGGGTGAGAGACAGAGAATATTAAGCAGGCTCCATACCCAATGTAGAGCCCAACACCATGAAATCATGACCTGACTGAAAATCAAGAGTCAGATGCTTAACCGACTGAGCCACCCAGGCACACCCCAGGATAATTATTTCTTTTCTAAACAGATACTAAAAGTACAACTACTATCATACAACTGTCCAGAAAATTACTCAACAATTAAAGGGCATCCTTAGACTCCAAAACCTTGGCACCTCCTTGAATACTGTTCTGAGACATATAGAAAACATTGATTTTTTGCTAATTACTAGTTATTTTCTCTTTTCATTTTTAAGATTACACAAATACCA